GGGGGGGGGGGAAGGCGGGGGAGCCACTGGTGCCATATGGAAAAGCTGTTCCCATACAGCGGGTGGAAAGACGAAGTGGTGGCATGTTACGCGCAGCCGAGGGTATCTAACCCTGAGCAAGCTGAGCTCTCATTCACGAGGAAGAGAAGCCCCATGGCGCCAGCCCACTGGGACCCCTCACAGCTCTGGCTTGCCCCTGACAGGGGAGGAAGGTCACGGCTGCTCAGCTTTGTGCAAATTGGGTGCCCTCTCTTCTATCAAATTACTAATGTAGCAGTCACGCGGGTCTGGAATAGCATATTGTTATTTGTCCCATTCATTGCATGTCTCGTAAATTCATGCTAAATTTCATAATTTCAATAACGAAAAGCACTTTCAAAGGCAGCACAGGGACAGTGTATTTAGTACACCATACACCCTGTGCAGCCATTCTCTGAAAAAGTGCATAGTGAATTCATATTTACATACATTAACATTTTTTCAACACCACTTCCCTTTACAGTGGCTTTGTGTCACAAAGCTTTAACAGGCCTGCTCTGAGTTTTTACAGCAACTAGTTTCACACAGCCATAGGGAGGGAGATTTGGCAGCAGTCACTGCTCCCAGCACGAGCGACTCCTCTTTCTACCCTCCCACTCTCACACTGTTTTTGTTATGATTCTTCTGTCTCCCTCAAAGCTAACAAATATATTCATGTTTACACTGGAGAGATCTCAGCTCACCATAAGAAACAACCTGACCCATACACAATACGTACTTGGGCAGTCAAGAGTAACAGGTATAAAACGGCAGCCGTGTGTCAAAGTCCATGGCCCAAGACATGTTTCCACCCGTGAGGGGTCTGATGGCAGCGTTGATCGGCCGCTGCATCCCTGGCCAGAGGAGGGATGGGGTGATGTGGCCAGTGCTCAGTTTCGGCTCCCAGCCTCTGCAGCGGGGGAGAGCTCTGGGACCCCCAGCAGAGGTGCAGGTGGAGAAGGCAGAGCCTTGGGAACCTGATCTCCTCATAATTGTGGCTGCTTGTGCAGCCAAGGGTTACATCCAAGCTGAACTGGAATACCTCCCTTACTTCTTGTTTGTGAATGGGCAAGTTAAAAATTACAGAGTTTTGGGCACTGGTCTTGCACAGCACAGCTGAGAGCAGGAATTACCCCTTGCTGCCAGCACCAAGAGAGGAATTAGTCTAATCTGTTTAACACTGAACAATATAGTTGCCAAAGCACTAAAGGAAGCTAACTGAAAAGAGTATTTGTAGAAACAATTTAAATCAAAATACATACATGCTTATGTCGTGATTAGCAACCCCACCGCTGCTATAAATGAACAAGCTAACTTATTATAGCCCAGCCATACCCTCTTAAGGCTCTCCTTCATTGAGCCTACTCCTGCCCTCCAAGCTGAGTACTGACAAATACCACCTGGTGTAGTGACTGCACGGGTTCAAGACCCTCTGAGGCCAAGTGACTGCAGTACAGGACAAAAACGGAAATTCAAGGTCCTCTCAGCTTTGCAGGAATGACACCTTCCTTTCTTTAGCCCACCAAAACCAACTGCTGTTTTCCCATGTTTGCTCACGTGTCCTGCTTCTCCTGTCACTGCTCCTCTTCTACTCACCAAATGTGTGTGCTCTAGGCAGCCTCCTCACCACTGCTTTTACCCCAGAGATAATTAATTTCTGTAAGTAGGCAAGCCAGTGATGAAAGGGACCACTTTGGAACAAATCCATGGATACATACATGGTTTTATTTCATGGTATCTGGGTCTGAAGAGCATCCCATTGGCCTGTATCTAGCACTGAAGATCATCTTTCAGGCGCTCCTCAGATGCTCTTAAACTGAGGAACTGTTCTGCTGAGTTCTGTGAGCTGTTAGGGTGGGAGCACTCAGGTAAAACTAAAAACTTTATGTTAGATGTAGGAACTTCCATCCATATTCAGCAAAAGGCTAACTTGCCGTTGCTAGTCCTTGCCCTGTATCTCTTCAAATCAGAAGAGCTCCCTTTTGTTTAAATTTGCATATTTTATTTATATTCCATTCTTGACATCTCTTTCCAAAGCCATATACATTTAGCTTCCCAAACATTTCCTCAGATATACTGTCTCCCACACTTCTTCCTGTTTTATCTTTCCTAACTTATGCTTAACATATTTAATGACGTATGGGAAGTAGAACAAATTGAAATATGCCAGGAGCTGTTGCTTTTAATTTCTGCAAAATGCTCCTTCCCAAATTTTACATTTGATCTTTACACATATTTACCCTAGATTAGTATTAATGATTTTTGCAATAGCATTGCATTGCAAGTTCACGTCCAGCTCATGTGCAGTTTCCTATTACAAATCAGTCTACCTCAAAACTGTTGCTTCTTGATTGGAAGAAGTGGAGAGGTGTCCAAGTAATGTAATCTATTGCCCTAGTTGTGTCATTTCACTTTATTTGCAGTTTATCTCATCTAACAATAAACTGACCCTTCCGATACATTCAGGCCCTTTGCAAGGTGTATTTTACACTGTTTTTTCAAGCTCTTCTTACAGTGGACACAATCACTTCTTATACATTGTTTTCTTTTAGAAAAGAAATAAATTATTAACAAGTTATGTGTGTTGTTTGCACTGTAATAATCTTTTGTGGAATTCAGTGCAAGGATCCGAATAAAATATTCAAACCATACACAACAGCTATATTTAGGAATCAGACATAGTAACAAAGATACCCTGACTTACTGTGAGAGTCACACTGATCATGACTCATTGATATGTCTTCTCTACACTGCTAATGAAATTATTAAGTAACAAGGGCCCCGATACTTACCCTTCACAGTGATAACATACTGCTCTTCACTGGAATTTGCCAGTGATGGATTTCTAATTCATTCCCTGATATGAGTGTGTCAGAAATGCAATACATCTTGAAATAGTAATTTCTTTGTATAGCATTTTTCATACAGGCTATATTCCAAAATATTTTAGAGTTACATAATCCATTTGCAAGCACAAGAGGGAAAAAATAAAGCAGAAGAAAAAAGAGTGAGACAAACAGATACGGACCCTGGGGACAATCACCCTGAAAACAGACGATGAGTCAACTAAGTGAACAGATGTGAGATGGTTGGTCTGGAGCTACAGAAGAAAACACCATTTCACTGATGTGACAGATGGAGGGTGAAGCGCCTCAGAGAAGGCCAGTGTAATCAAAGCAAAGACTCAAGATCTTTTAGATGGGCTGCATCAGGTCAGTAATGAGCTTTATGCTTAAGAAAGGCAACTTTTAACTCAGATCCTAAGTGAGCATTAAATTTACTTGAATAGAACCATATAGAACTATTTTCAGAAACTGACTGCCTACAACGTGACATGTGGACATATATACAAAATATATCCATTTGGTTACTAAAGATATAAATATACCAAAAGGAAGCTACTGACTTTATAAAGTACAAATTTTATAAAAACTTGGCATTTTCTAATCTTTCATCTCTTACTAGTCTCTTATAATTCTGCTTGCTAAGGATAGTTAATTCCTGGTTTACCATTACTTTTCATATGATCTTACACTGAAATTATTGCATATGCTACTGCTTCCAACTTTCATTATAATCTCCCTTTTGAGTCTCTCAGATAAGCGCCTTTTCAGCTGAAAACTCACATTTTTAGCCTAAAGCCAGCAACAATTTTTGGAATAGTGGAACAGGCAAGCTCAGGTGTATTCAAAACAATCTTTAAAGATTGTTTAAAGTAATAACATACCTTTTCCAAATAATTTGACTTAAGAATGGGGAAAAAATGAATAAACTAATTTTGCTCATTTTGCTCTTATTCTGTAGGTTAAAATGAGACCCAAGGAAGTTCCAATTCATGTAATGCATTTCAAAGAATACCTGCTTAATGATTTTTAAGCTGTGGCTAGTGTGATGGGGCTTGCTTTCAGGGTGATTTAGGTCGAGCCACAGAACAGCAAGGGTCACCTTTCAGCACTTCGGATTTGGAGCTATTTAATGCCTGAGTTTCCAGTCCTATCAAAACTCTGAAGTCTGAATTCAGAGTTTAACCCACCTAAGCTTTGGGTCAGCCTCATTCTGAAGGCAGGTTTCACAAGGGAAGTGCGTATGTGCTGGCCGGTCAGCCCAGCAACAGACAGGAGCTCAGACATAGCAAAGGAGGGTATACTGAGGGCACACTGATTCCCGTAGGCTGAGGCATCTGGCTTTACACACAGTAAAGAAACAATCCAGAAAAAACAGTAAAAACACAATGATTCTAAATAATTCAAAGAAAACGTCAAAGTGTGTTTTTAAAGTCCGTACTACACAACAACGCTTTAACCTTTACTTTCTTAGGTCATGTTTAAAAGCTGAATACAAACTCATCCCAACCTTATGATACACAGCCTGACAGTTTCAGTGGCACACAAGACCTATGGGAAGACACTGCGGTGAAAATGAGACCAGAACTGCCCAGGACATGTATCGACAAAGGACATCTGCTAGCCTGAGAGTACTCTGTAGACTTGTAAATGAAACTTGGGTCTGTTCCCTTGGGTAAAAATAGCAACTTACAGCAGGTGGAAATTTTGATACAAATTCCTAAGGATCATCCCAACCCACCACTTTGCAATGCAGACTAACTTACATATGTATCTGGCATCTTCAGTGAATATAGCACAAGTTGCTGATGTGAACTGCTCACTTGATGCATCATTTCCCTTGTCTCTAAAGTAAGATAATGCACTATAGCTCACCTGTAACTTCTGGGTCAGAGAATCCCTCTGTGCCTGGAGCTCTCTGGCATTGTCAATTTCTTGTTTCAATCCTTCTATTTCCTAAGGGAGAAGAAACAATCTTGCTAGCAACACGTTACCTGGCTTGGCCTCAGTGCAGGTAAGCTGGCTATCGCTGCTTCTCCCGAGCAAGCCATTGCAATGATACCAAAACTGGCAGTTGGCTACTGCCCATCACAGCACATGAAGTTTAAGTCCTGCTCTCAGTACTCCTGAATCACAGTCCCAAACCAGCAATTCCATTGTGAATAAACAACAACATAGATAAGCATTTTCTTTTATAGAAGTCCAAGTTTTCCTCTCCCACACAAAAGATATGACATACTTCTTTCCTAGAAAATTAAGGGTGCTTGTAATTAGAGAAACAATTTTATACTTTAAATTCTACTAGAATCTATCCTTCTCCGTTTTTTCAAGAGAAAAATCCAATTTTCATCTGTGAGCTGCTCATTATGTCACTGGTAGCAGGGCTGAGCGTCAAAAAATTGCCTGCTTTGACCATTGATTTCTGGAAAAAGGGAGTCTAAGAGAAATGACATATTTAATTTAGCAAGAAGAAAGTAGTAAGGTATAAAAGTAACAAATACAGATAATAAACGGAAGAGAAACCTTTTCTTAGCTTACTTTCAGGTGACAAGAATAGAAACAGTTAATGAAACTAAAAGGTATTGCACTTAAAACTACTAAGTACTTTTCCCCGGAACGGCATATTCGCCTCCCAGAACTCCTTTTGGAAAGATCTCTGCAGCCAACAGCTCAGCATAATTCAGAAGTGAACGGGCACCGAAATGGGAAACATTACCAACCTGAGGCTAATCTCTTAAGTATAAGGGAGTTTGGAAAAGGCTTTGTTCCATTGTGGGAGGATATGTAATTTTGGGAGGCACAACTACTGTGCTTCTCCTGCATCCTCCCTGGAAACACCTAACTGCCCCGCTGGAGGCAAGACCCTGCAAGACACACTGCCCCTCCGAACACGCCCACCAGTGCCCACTGTGTCTGTCACAGAGGGCTCAAGGGATCTGGTCTTACATGGGGCAAATAATCCTTCATATGCGGCTCCTTCCACCCCATTTCCCATCCATAAAGGGGTAATTCCCAATCATTCTGTGGCACAAATCTGCTTTCCTCTAGGACCCGTGCCAGTGCAGGTGTTACTCCAACTCCTTTTATTGTCTTGCTGCTGGTCCAGCCCAAGGCAGACGGCATAATAAATATCATCAAGTTTCAGGCCGGGGGCTTGGCAAAAGGCTGATCTTAGGGATCATAAAAGTCAGCCACATTCACGTAGCCTGAAAAACAGTTTAGCCTGAAAAAGGCATTGATCTATTACTTGTTCCAAACCCTACTCTTCAGAAAAACGAAAGCATGCTTACGGCAGCTTCCCTTCTTAGTGAATTTGGGCTGCATCAGTGTGACGACTGCTCTGTGGAAACCACTTATGACTTACTTTGGCAAACAGAGATGCTTGGTAAAAGCAAACATGAAAACATGATACTTTTTTATGTTGTTCAGATACGCAGCTGTATATTGGACTGATGTAACTATATACACGGAAAAATATTAATCATTTCAAAGAAGCTGAAAAAAATTTTACTTCATAACATCTCTAGGAAATAATATGGTATTTACCAGTCATCACAAGCTTAATATTGAAAGCATTTAGAAATGACATAACAGAAAGGCCAAGAATAAATGTTAGCAAATACCTCTTCTTTTTTCTTCAGTGTAGACTCTAACTCCTGTATTGTCTGGTTTAATTCTGTTTTATGTGTGTGGACTGCATTGGCTTGACTGCTCACACACTCTAGCTCAGTCACCTGTTGAAATAAGTAGAAGCAACACATACAGAATTAATTTCAACAAATTCAAGGTACTATTACTTCTTTGCATCAATAGCTGCATTTGAAAGATACCCTTAGTTCTGGGTGACTTACGTTGATTAAAATGGTGAAGGTGTTCTTATGAAGTTAGCATAAAATTCCTTAACAAATTGTTTAGCATAAAATGGTTGCTATGACTTCTTGGAAACAATAAATTTAATATGTTGCAGGCTGAAAAGAACATTAATTAAAACTTATACTTATTAATTATTGAAAATTTTATGAAAGAAGCTGAATTACCATTTCAGAAACAGCAATGGCTAGACGATTAAACACAGATCTGTCTGTCTAACTAACCTCTCCATCTGACACTTTTTAATGTTGCACCATCTTAATCAACTAAGCCACAATGCTCACCCACTTCCTAGCAAGCCAATTAACATTTCACAGCCTCAATTTCTGACTCGGCATCAACAGTGTAATAGCAGACACTCAGCCATCAATGTAGAGCTGCCAGCTTCTTACTTCCTCTAGTTTCGGATCTCATCTCTCAGTCACAAAGCCAACAGCTAATGGCACAATTTGAATTTGCACAGTTCCTCTTTATTAGCAAACAGCAAACACTCTCCATCTGCCCTTGAATAAGTTAAGATACCTGGCAGTGGTATGCCCTTTTTATTTTATGTTTGAATCAAAGAGATCTTAATATCCTGCCATTCACAGATAAACAGTTGTCAAAAAATAGCTTCTGCACCAAAGAAATAAAATCCAGGCAGCTAGAGTCTACGCAGAAAAGTCTTTGTTCATGTACCTCTCAAATTACAGATCAAAATATTAGAGAACTCTTACACTGCATATCTGCGTAGATGTGAGCACTAAAACCTTTCTGTTTAACAACAAACTGTTAAAATATTAAAAATACTATTTAAAACCTAATAACTCATTTTTTTCCAGAAGATATGAGCCTGTCAAACTTAGTATACAGTCTTCAACAGAGCTGCACCATCTACCTAGAGTAACTAACAAATCTGACCCAAAAACTCCTTTGAAGAAAGTGCTACCCAATTCTGCAACAAAAACCTTTAGGTCTCCATTTAACTTTCATAGAAAAGTAGCCCTTAGACAGAGGGCAGGCATTCTCCAGGACAATTTTATTTCTTAGATAAAAGAACATCTTGAGGAGTCAAGGTTGGTGCCCTCCAACACCAAGGTAGTCTAGCTAGTGAAGCCACTGTAATGCCAATAATTTCAGAGACTGAACTATTTGTAGGCTCAAAAGGTAGATTACTGAGTGCAGAGAGAAGTCGAAAGCCAAGATGAAATACAAGAAAATTAAAACAAAATCCCTATCAACTTCTCCTTTCTGAGTCACAGGGCATGAACTTCCCCTCTGTAACAGCCATGATGAGTCTAGTTTCTTCTACGGGAAAACTGTGATTAGACATTTTTGCACATCAGGTTTATAAATGGAGAGAACTGAGATTACAGCAAATTCTTGGCAGGGGTAAGGGGCATGAGGGATGAAGATATAGCTTGGTAACACAACACCCCACACCCCAAAGAACTATCTTATTTGCTGGAATTGTCCCAAAAGAAGTATCAGTGCTCACAAGCAAAAAATAATAGCAGTTTGCTCAGTTTTATATGCCACTGAGCACTACAACTGAAATCTTAGATAATTTTCTCAATTTGCTTCAATTATACAAAAATATATCTATTTAGATTCCCTGTGACTGCTACCAGTTGTGACTGTTACAGTATTCACCACTACAATTACACAACCACAAACAAGCAGAATTGGAACACACCGACTGGGATAAACCTATGTCTACACAGTATCTGAACTAACATCCAGATACAGAAGAATCACAGAAGCACAGAGTAATTTAGTCTGGAAGGGGACCCTGGTGGTCATCTGGTCAAGGCCTCCTGCTCAAGATAGGGCCAATTTTGAAGTCACATTTGGTTGCTCAGGGTCTTGCCCAGTCACAAACCCTTCACCGTCTAGCAGAGCTGCCACAGTTTTACACAGGTTCGTATACTTCTGACATTGCAGGTTTATGCAGAGCTCTAGCTCATATCTAAGTTTTGCTGGAACTGTCAAACTCACTCACCTTGCCCACCTTCACCCCTTCTGATGTTTAACTTCTTAAACATTTCCAAGCTTTTCTGCTGAACTGAGTCTTGAATTGGAGATGGAAGCCTCTGTGAACCAGGGCTAGGGTTGTTAGGGGAACCCAGGGTCAGGTCCTCTCCCACCCACTGTGAAAGACTGGAACCTCCAAGAAGGTCAACCTCTCTTTTAAAGCTGTTGCACTCAGCAATATCCACTGGCTCTTACCAAACACTGGCACAGTGAATACTCATTTACGCAAAGTGTAAGAGCCTCAACTGGAGAGACAGAAGAAACCCAGTCCTCAAACCACCTCTGTCGTAGCACCTAGTGCCTTGGAAGCAAGTGTGCAGAGGTGTCTCAACCTGTGACTAAGGAAGTGCTTGGACCCCCACTGTTCTCCACATGGTTTCCTCTGGGCTGGTACACACAGAGAGGATGCATGTGTTGGTGCAAGCTTGGAATCCAAGGAGGCTGGTGGATTGAACTGCGATGGATGAAATGTTACTGCTCTCAGCTGCATGTATTGTCACTGGATGAAAACACCTTCCGCAACAGCCCCACCAGCTGCATGGCTCACGTTGAACGCTTCCCAGTACGCTCTGGTCCATACTAACTCAAGACACCTATTGAAATTGCTTAAGCAAACACAGCTAATTTTGCCTGAGTGGAGCAGGGAGTGCTCTCACAAACCTTCTTGCCAACAGAGGCAACTGCTGTCAGACAGGCAATTAATTACCACCACTAAAAGGGCTGTCATGTCTTACTCTGGTCCAGCTTTTCTCTGGGCAAACGTCCACCTCTTACTGCTTATGCAAGAAAAGAATGCATTTTGTTTTGTTTACTGCTTGTTGAAAAATCAGTAAGTTGGAGAAGAAGAACAAATTTGATTAAAAAAATGGGGTTACTTTAATCGCAGTCTTATTTAAATGCCCATTCCTACAGAGATCTGAAAAGATGTCAGATATCTTCATGATGTTATCTTCTTGAATGTACCTATAAAAGAGAAAATAATACTGTGACCCTTTCAAAAAAATCTGTAGAGTAATATTGGCTGGAAAAGGGTGCGATATAAAGAATATGCAATTGAAAATAGAAGTAACAAAAGTTAAAGCTCTAGGCAAAAATCTGGATACAGTTTACTTGCTCTACTTCCTTGTTTCAAGTTGAATTTATTTTTCTCACGACCAGTGGTCCAAAAATCCTAAAAAATAACTGTTTATGCATTATGCACAGAAAGGGGCATAAAAGGAAGCTAAAGTGCTTTAATCTGACCCACCCATGTGCTATTTTCAGGGACATCTCCTCATTCGGCGTTTCATGTTTAAGAGCAAGGCTCAATCAATCATTCAAGCCTTTGCACAGCAACACTGAGCAATGTACCTGTGATTAAGCCTTGTTTCCAGTACAGAATTCAGATTAGAAGAACAGTCTTTGAACAATAACTGATTAAACAAGGTTCTTCCATCGTGCTAGTATAAGACTGCGCTGACTTGCATATCTGAAAAAAGTCAATACTGTGGCTTCATATTTGAGACTAAAAAAGAAAAAAGTATTGTTCTTAGCCTCTGCTTCTTTATTTTGCATTTATCATCCAGGTAAGGATTGCACATAGGTAAAAAAAATTCTGAAAGGGCTTTTTAGTGACTATTTAATGAGCTAACTCTTCTAGGCTATGGCTGGCATTATACTTAACTGCATACTTCAGTGAGAAATACATAAGCTGAAATAAGACAGCAAGGCAACTTGTTCTGGCAGAGCCTAGACCTTCTCAGCAGAGGCCATTCTAGAGTTTTCTGGAAATTTTGATCTAGGGTCAACAGCCTATAAATAGAGGAGGATGCCAGGCAGAAGTTTTCATTGCAGCAGACAGCTAGCACACACTAGGCTGCTGGGAAGACTGAGGGAGTGAGGCTTTGGGCCATGTAACACAACAAGGAGTAACAGCCTTGATGTGAGCTTAAGACAGTGACTGCCCAAAGCTTCAGAAGACTGAAGAATCTCTCAAAGAAAACAAACCAAATCAAGTGACAAGAAACCAAGAGAGGAGACTGCATGAAATCCCAACACAGACAATACCTTCACAAGTAAAGACTTCAGTTAGACAGAGGCAAAGAAGTGGGAATGACAGAAGTATTTCGAGTGGTTACCTTCCCCAAGCAACTATGGACTGAGTGAATCTGGGCTATGTTTGCTGCAGGCTGATTAATTTTTTCAAACCACTTTCTTGAGATAAATTTGTACATTTCTGATCTCAAACAACAATAGTTTTTATTCAGCATCTTAAATTCAGTACCAACAGATCATGAAATGCCTTCTAAACTTCATACAGAAATTACTTCAGCTGCTACAGAAATGCAAAGAAAGACAGATTAGAACATATTTTCAGTGTAGCTGTGGCCTGTTTTATATACCTGACACTATTAACCTGTTGTTTCCTAAAGGTATTTTTATCCCTTCTAATTACCGTGGAATGCAATATCCAAGGTCTACTATCCTAGGCTACAGTGCAGAACAGGCAGAGTGCTCACATGCAAGACTGAATTTAAGTATTAATTATGTATTTTTAGCTGGTTGAGTTACATCCCTAAATGGATCATAACTGTGACTGTGACAATATTATTGCATCAATAATTCAAGATGAACGTCCTACAAAGAAAAAAGAGCCCTTTGCTTTCAGCAAGAGGAAGAGAAATGATGTTGCATGGCTCAACAAAGCTAGGAATAACTGCATAAAGTTTCACATAATTTATACAGAAGCAGCTTCTCAGTTCTTCATCGTGGACAGTAAGATGCAAGACAGCATGCAGCAAGCCAACCATAAAAATAATTCCAGTATAGCTTTCAAGAATAAAAAACTCTGGAAAGATTTTTGGTGTTAAGA